CGGCTGCCACAGGGTGAACGGGACGCGGGGCCTGGGAGAGGGCTGGGCTCCAGCGGGGCGAGGAGGGGGCTGCAGGGTCTCCGTGTGGCAGGGTGCTCCCCGCCACTGCAGCAGCCGCCATGCCGCTTCCTCACCTCTCCGCGCAGGCTCGCTACCCCCACCTCATCAGCAGAGCGAGGGGGAGAGGAACGTTCTGTTCGTTCGACACTCCGAATGATGCAACTAGGAACAAGCTGATCACCATAGCCAGAAACAAAGGTAAGCGTGTTGCGCGCGTGGCTTAGCTTCATGTGACAAACGGTAGCATGTGTAATGCTTTAGATTCTCCTTTTTTCCTGTCGGAGGGCAGAAGTGAGGTTATGAACAGAGCTGTATTTAGACTTTTCTGGAAATGCTTGTATTTTCAGAGACGTCGGAGCAGTCTGTTGCATGGTGTGCACGTTTACCTTTCTCTGTAGGTCTGACCTTACTGGAAGAGATCTCTGTAGGGCATGAGGTTGTGTGACATCACTTTCATGTTCCTCTGCCGCGACCTCAGGTGCACCTAGGCAGGGCTCACCTCTAGAACCAGATCAGGAAAATGAGAAGAAAGTCAATGCAGCTGTCACCCGGGCAAGCACAGGGAGAAAAACTATGAATTTCATGGCATACCTAACAATGGAATATGACGAGTTGCCTAAAAGGGGCGCAGGTCTGCAGCTGCGTCTGTCCCTCCTTGCCTGCAGAGCCCTTGCCCAGCAGCAGACAGGCGCAGGCGTCAGGAGGGGCACCGCGCGCTCTGTTGAACTTCACTGCGCGGGGGCCCTGGATGTGCTGCTGTCAGCTTCTGCTGTCACCCGTCTCTCTGCAAAGAAGCGGGCGTGAGGCATCTAAGCTATTGTGAAACCAACAGCTTAGAGTGCAGAAGAGACTGGTGGGTTTTGTTCTTGTGAACTAAGCCAGCAGGGAGATAAGGCAAGTGGTCTGCCTCACGGTAAACCAAGGCTGTGCTTAGAGGCAAGGCAAGCACCGCTCAATCCTACGGGTTTTCGTTGCCCACAGACACTTCAGAGAATTCACTGGTTTGGGGGTAAAAAACATACCATGCATTTAAAGTACTGCAGGAAGACGTTTGCCAGCACTGAGGTATTTTAACTTGTTGTAATAAAAACTGCAGTCATTTAAAAACAAAATTGCAAAGAAACCTAGCGTGCCATGTTCTGGCATCAAGGTAGTCAACCTGCAGAGTGCTACAGCTCTGCCGTCCCGATCTCTGATGGACCGCTGATGCTGGGACTGGTCCCGACATTCCAGGTGTTCCACAGAGCAGCCGCAGGCTCCTGCTGTCCTTCCCAGCTGCTGTGAAGCGTGAGGGCCTGTGCTGTACCGTCGTGCAGTCAGCAGCCATCTGGGGAGTGTCCGCTGGCCCCCCCAGTGAGGGGTGCCTCTTCGGGGAGCCGCGCTTTCTGTTTGGCAAAGATGGGGTGACTGGAGGGCCTGTTCTGCTCTTGGTGTAGGTGTTGTGCTGGGAGGCTGCGGCGACAGATCGATCCGCTTCCGTCCAACACTGATCTTCAAGGATCATCACGCGCACCTCTTCCTGAACATTTTCAGTGACATCTTGGCAAACTTCAAGTAAAAAGCAGTTCCCTCGCACTGAACAGCCGATTATGAAATTAGTTTGCATTAATTCATGTCTCCTCTACTTACGAGATAAGTGTAAAGTCATAAACTAAGGTTTGTGTTCTGTCCGTACCCTTGCGGCCCGAGGCAAGCTGCTCCACGTGAGCCCTGGCAGAGCATTGGTGCTGTGGCTGGCCCCCGCTGCGCGCTCGCAGGAGCTGTGGCCCTCCGTCTGCTGGCTCGGGCCATACATCCAGAGTCCTCTCCACACTCCCGGCCCCTTGACCGTCCGCCCATGGGCCGGCACAGTCCCCTGTCCCAGGTAATCACGGGTGTTTGGCAGAGGGACCTCCGGCCGCGTGCCCCTGCCAGCAGCCCCGTCTCGGCCGCGCGTGCAGGGCTGCAGCCCCGACCGAAGTACTTGTACTTTTTTCCTCGCCCCGGGTTTTAAAGCTTTTGACTTCTCTTACAGTCAGACTGCGCAGAGGAAACCATACCCTGAAGTACGCAATTTGACAAAGCTTAGACCACCCCGTGAAGCACGGGATTGCCACCTCTGTCAGCAATCTAGAATGATTTATTTTACCCTTTGCCCGTGACACACAATAGCCATTGATTTATCTATTACAAGTTCTGCACGAATACCTGAGGTATTTTGTACAACCGCAGCAGAATTGCTTGACCGTAGCCATTACCTGAGAGCAGAGCCACGGCAGCGAAGGCCCAGCCCTAGTCGTACATTCGTAACGCAGAGTAAGTCCGTTGTTCTCATAGCTCATTCTAAGCCACCAGTACTTCAGGAAGAGATCTGCTGGAAGGCCACAGGATTGACAAGTGCCAGCAGTTGATTGTTTCTCCTCAGAGAACGGTTCTGGATGTCTCTGTGCTAGGTCCGCTGTGCCAGTCGCTGGAGGCTGACCTGAACTAGGCCTGGTGCTTTTTTGTCATTTTCTTGGCTAGCAGGCATCTGGATTTCGCTTGCTAGGTTTAACTTTACGTTGTGCACCGAAAAACAGGGACCATGGTAGACTTCACAGTTGCCCCGTTAGGATCTGACCACAGTTTTTAAGTACATAATGAGACAGAGCAGTTAAGAGATTTACCCATTTAATACAGCTACCAAGCTGCGACAGGTTTCTTACCCGCTCTCAGAAGCATTAATCACAGTTTTCCCATTGTTTTTTGAGTGCTGGTGTTGGGAAACTCGCGTACGCTCACTCCTGCTAGCTTAAAAACACCGGGACTGCTGTAAGCCTCTCAGCAGGGACCAGAATTCTGGCAGCAGCTGGTCAGAACCCCAGTGGGTGTTTGAGCAGAGGCTGCAGAAATCTGGGGGACGGGCTGGTGAACGGGCGCTGGGCCGAGCCGCGCTGTGCTGGCAGGCAGCAGGAGGGCAAAGCGAGGGCTGCCTCTGACCGACGGCCTGGGGGAGTGACTGTTCCACAGATCGGGGCAGCAGTTCTGTAACCGTCACGAGCGAGTTGTGAACTCTTGCAGAAGCAAAGGTCCGGTCATCTGAAGTCTTACCGCATCGTCACTTTTGTTATGAATACTCCAGGTGTTTTTATAATTTTTACTGACACTCAGTAACTGTATAATTGTGTACAACATGTTGATGAAATCATGTTAGAGAATACGTAGGAAGCACTGCAGCCGAGGCGTGTAATGTTAATATTGTTTACAGCATACTGTGGACAGTGCCAAATAAATGTTTAAACAAATCCGTACCTACACTTCATAGTGTAACCAGTAACTGTACACAGATCCATAAAAAATGACATCTCATGTGGAATTGGTATTCTTAAATAAAATATTTATAATTCTACTTCTCTGGGGGGGTTATTTTACACCTAGTACATGCCTACACTGAATCCCTGGTGCGTATTAAAGACATTGCTACGAGGCGACGCCTGCCGAAACCACACTGTGTGCGCAGCCCCATACTGTGCCGCCGTCGTGTTTACGCCAAGGAATGTTTTGCCGTACCACACAGCACCAGGCAAAATTTAAAATAATGGAGCCCCCATTAGGAAAAGTTCAGCAGAGTAAACAGCAGACGGGCACTCAAGGGGCAGTTTTCCTTACCTGCATCTGCCGCTCCACCAAGAGACAGAGGTTTCACTGCGTGCGAGGAGGCAGCAGGGAAACGATCGCTCCCGGTGCCTCCCCCGGCGAGAGTCAGGCCCTTTGCTGTCGTTTCACACGAACTAACAGCAAGGTGGACGGAGTTAGCTCGCTTCCGACAGCTCGGAACACGTCTGACATCTTCCCAGCCATCAGGTCCGATTCCCTCCCGCGTTCAAACCCTGCTCCTCGTTCCTGCGTTTGGCAGAGGAGGACTCGCGCCAACGCCGCAGAAGGAGCGCTGTCCTTCAGGGAGGTCAGCGACCCAGCAGGCTCAGCGGAGCGCAGCAGACGTGCCCTTCAGTGCAGCACGGCTTCTGGGTGCCCCCTTACCTTTTTTCCTTCCGTCTTAGGGGAGCCCGCGCTGGGGGATTGGGGAGGGGGCTGGGCCCGCGCTTGTGATGCTAAAACAGGCCCACATCAGTAAACGTGTCAGGGGACACGGACGACTGGTTTCCCAGGCTACGCGGTGATCTATACAGAAGACTGCTTAATTCACAAGGTCTAAGATACTTTTGGTAACTTTTACTGAAGTTTCTGCAACTCGAGTGTTCCCGCGTGGATTAACTGGCATACAAAACAAACACACGCGGAGGCAAAGACGGACAAGTCCTTCCGTGATCTCTGATGGCCGCTGGGGTCCGAGCCGAGCACAGGCTGGCAGGCTGGCCCTGCAGCTCGGCACCAGTCAGGGACGGTCTTCCCTTACCCCGACAGCCAAGTGGTTTCCCCGGGAGGCTCCTGAAACGCTGTCCCAGTCTCCACGGCCCCCGTGCAGCAGCGCAGTCGGTCCCGCGACACGCGCCCCTGTCCCGCGCTGTTCC